ACGTAGTATTTTTACCTGTATTTAATTAATTATATGATAAATTAATTTCAAAACGGTGCAAACTACTGTTCCTCGTTGACCTTCTCAAAACAGAGTTGGGTGCAAGACTGGCTCCCTCTTCTATAGAAAATTTATCTTTTGTTAGGGAAAAATTGAAGGGAACAATGAAAACAATAATATTTTAAATTTTCATATTAAAAGGTTTAAATTCTCATGGGTAAGTTCAGCACTTCTCTTTCTAGCAGTAAGCCAGAGTGACATTGATTTCTCATATCACATCCCCATTTACTTATTACTCAATACCGCCTTGCTTGCAATCAGGGTGTTGCAAACAGGGGAGCCTCTATCCGTGTTGGCCGTGACACCGAGAAGGCCCGAAAAGATAAGCGCTAATAATGTCCTAACTATTATATCAATGCACAATTTCTTGAAATCCTTGAATTTAACATTCATGGTCATTGTCACTGACAGGCTACTTCAGAGACAGAAGGCCGACATCGAACATGGATCCTTACATCGCGACATCAGTGATACCGAGTGCTTAGTTTTAGATTGTTGCTTCCGTTGGGGATGATTTTGGTTAGTTACTAAAGAATTCAATGCATCATATTTAATTCGAAAATGAATATGAGTACATTTTTAAACCTTTACTTAAAATAAAAGTTTAATGTAAAAATGAGTGTTCAAACTATATTTAAAGTTAAATTTTAGTATCTAAATTTGTTTTGGTAAAAATAGTTGTTGAACATTTTTTATTTTAACCTTTTAGGTGTTTACCGTTAAAAAAAACTCGATAAGCGACATGTTTCACATTTATATTTTTGAATTTTTAAAAATAAAATATTATTTAAATATATATATGTTTTTAAAAAATCTGATCGTGACATGTGTCACTTAGCAAATTTTTTTAACGGTAAACACCTGAAAATGTAATGGAAAAAAACATTAAACACCTATTTTTAACGAAAAATTCTTTAGACCACAAAAATCAACTTTAAATATAGTTTAGACTTTAGACACTTATTTTTACATTAAGCTTAAAATAAATGTAAATGATTTTTTTACTAATGACATCAATTTTGGTCATTCTAAGTGTGGTAGGCGACTTCAGTCTTTCCTTGTCGCAACTACACCACAAATCATACAAAATTTCCTCTTCATCATTTGTACTAGCAACAAAATTGTGCAAACAATAGAATTCTGAATCATTTGTTGTATAGGATGAAATTATTTGTTGGTTGAGAGGGATTGTTGCCGTTCAAATTACGGGTGGCAATCGGATGGCGGGAAATCGAAAATCACGGGGATCCGAACCGATAAGGATGAGAAATAATCGAAATCTTCACCCATGGTGATGGGGAAGCAGAAAGTTTTATCCTCGAAGCTCAAATGGGGATAAGAACGAGGATTGTTAAATCAGAACCGTGGGAATAACCGAACCGTACTCGTGTGAATAACCATGGGGATCCTCGAAAAATATCCATTGGGATCCCTGATATTTTACAAAATTTAAAAAATATATTTATAATCATTTATCTATATACCCTTAATATATATTTTAGTTATATATATATATATAATACGATTGTGAGATTACGTGTTGCCAATGTTACATCTCAAAGGAACTAAAATTGAAGTTTAGATATTTTCTCATTTAATATACATTGATTTGTTGATATTGAAAATGGTTAACATTGTACATATACATTAGGTGTTAGATGAATATTGACGTTTGAAACTTTCATATTATAGATAGAAACTAATTTGAGACAATCTGACATATCTTATAAGTTTTAGGTATTGCATTGGTTTAAAAAATGTTTGTTTATTTTTTGAGATAATTATTAATCGAAACCCGCAGTGATCCTTTAGGGATGTGTACGGATACAAAAAAATCCTCAAAACATATAATAGAGATTCTCTAAAACTGTACCCACAAGGTTAGGGACAGAATGGATAATGTAAAACCGTCTCCGTCCCGTCCCAACCCACCCCACCCCGTTGCCACCCCTAGTTCAAATGTTTTGATAGAATAATATTTTATGGGTGTAGAAATAATTTTTGAGTCACATTTTTTTTTCAAATTATAAGGATTTCATATATATATTTTACATTTTTTTATTAGTTTGAGATGATTATAAAGTAGTATTTGCTCATAATCTTAGTTATTGACAGCTTACACACATCATGCATACGTTGCTACTTAAACTTAAGACCTCAAGGGAGAACAACACTTCTTTTAACTACCAATGTCACTTAATGTGTTTGTCTTTCTCGATTTTCATATTTAAATACTTAATAATTCTTTTTCCTTCCTAATATATAATCTTAGCTTCATCCCTATAATAATCATTGTAACATAAATTTTATATCGGACATAAATTTTTTAAGGGTGTTCAAATATAAATTTATTTATTTTTATCTTATTTAGTACTGTGATTAAAGACCCTACACATGTCATTGTTATCATCCATTTAATTTGTATTCGTTGATATAGAACCTCAACTACCTCTAAGAAGATTTTAAATCTTACGTGATACTAACCGAATAAGACTTTAAAACTAGTGGTTGATAAAATGCTTTTTAACAGTGCTCTACATTAACCCTAAAGATATAACTAGGCAGGAATGAACTTAGGCATGGGCAGATTATCGTCCCTAAAAAATTAAAATTACTATATATTTTAGATTTTATATATGTATTTTTTTATTAAAAATTTGTTTTTGCTCTTAAAATTTTGTAAGTTCAAGTTTACCTCCTGAAATTTTATAAGTTCAAGTTCGCCCCTTCAACATAAAATAATACATTTGTCTATGTGATTAGGGGAAATCTTGGGATGGGGTCTCAAATGCTCAATTAATTGTCCCAAAAAGGGTTAAATATTGCAATTATTTTGAGAAGAAAACATGATTAAGCTATTTAGAGATGCCTAGGGTCCTCAAGGCCAAAGGGAATGCGTGAGCCATAAGTTCCCTTGTTGAGAATCTATGAATGTGTTCAGAATATCAAAATATCAAAATTTATTCTTGTTAGTTTATGTAGTAAAAATTGAACAAATGATTAAATTAGTCAAATTATTAATTTATATAATATGATTGATTGAATCAATGAATTAACAATAATTAAATACAAAATTTTAAGGCAAATTTCCCAAAAAAATAACCCTATCAATCTTTATTTCCCTGTCAGACATCCATGCAACTTTATTTTCTGATTTAACACCCTTTGCAAAAAGACGCGACCAATGCACCGCGCCTTACGCTATGTGGAGTCACGTGTAAAAATCGGGTGCTAATTTTGTAAATATTTCTAAACTTGTGCCTAATATATAATTAATTTATGTTAGGGTGATTTCTGTGTAAAATCGTCAACTTTATTTATTTATTTTTTGTGTGTGAAAAAAACTTTCTACATTAAAATCTTTAATTATTCTTTTGTAAATTATTTTATAAATCGATAAATTTTGATTTTTACATAAAATTACACAATACGTATAATCTAATATATGAAAACTTTGAGGGTAAATAATTTAAAACATGAATAATTTTATAAAAGTTTTATAACTAGTATTTCTTTTACAAAATGATGATGATAAGAAATATTTTATAATTTAAAAAATTATAAATTTCATATATTTTTGAAAAATTTATTGACTTTTAAAATTAATGGTTTAAAAATATAAAAAATATTAAAATAATTGATTCTTTTGCTTTACATTCTTTTTTTATTAAATTTTATTCACTTTTAATTCTTTTTTATTGTATTTTATTTATTTTTAAATATATGAGTTATAATTCAAATTAATCATTTATTCTGATATTATTCAAATTAATTAAGAAAATTTATGGTAAAATATTTCTAAAAGAAAAATATAAATACATACATGAAAATCTAAAGATTTTTTTTTCTTTTGTGTTACTCTCTAAACTTGTAACAAAATTCAATAAAAAATGTAAAACTAAAAAATATCACATATATATTTAAAATATTCTTTCTAATATTAATTTTAAAAAATATAAAATAATTCATATTTTAAATTACTAGTTATAATTTTTTTATAAAATTATTCATATTTTAAATTACTTACACTCAAAGTTTTCCTACACTAGATTATACGTATAGTATAATTTCATGTAAAAATAAAAATTTGTCAAGTTATAAAATAATTTGCAAAAGAATATTTAAAGATTTTAATGCAGAAAGTTTTTTTGCACACACAAAAAATAAATTAAAAAAGTTGACGTTTTTACAAAAAAATTACCCTAACAGAAATTAATTACTTATTTTGTACTATTTTAAAAATATATACAAAATGACCATTTTGTAATTTTTAATAGTCAAGGGACTCCACAAAAGAACTCTCTATAATCAGATGACTATTTTGTAACCTTTAATAATCAGAGACTTAATAAAATAATATCCTATAATCGGGACCGTATACTTACCCCAAATAAATTACTGTAGCATGTTTAGATTGATTTAGAATCTTTTCAAGAGAGTATGCTATTTTCTATTAACATTTTAAAATGTGGATAGCTTAACATATTTTTATTAAAATTTTTAAATCAATTCACTTAGACTGGGAAATTACATAACATCTTTGGATATCTCAATGATGGACAAAAAATTCACTTTAAGGACGCCATCAATCTTACCAAATCTGCTCTTAGCATTTGTATCAGCAACAGATTTGAGCAAATAGCAGAATTTTATAACCCAAATCCCCAGAAAAAGAAGAAGAAGAAAGAAGGAAAAACACTAAATTCATAATTGTTTTCTTGATGATCAGTTGATCAAATGCTTTAAATTCCCAAGAAAGAAAGAAAGAAGAACAGAAGAAGGCTAATCACGAGATTATGCTTAACAAAGAACAGATATGCATTCATGATGGAACTCAATCTGGTTTACACATGGATTACATTAATTTCTATTTGTTCTTGTTTCTCAATGTTGCCTATTCCTTATATATATATATATATATTGCTTATATATGTAACCATTCACGATTCTTGGACAGATACTATTTCAGACAAACTAAACAAGATCCCCTATTGAACCAAAACCAAAGACAGTAAAAAAAAAATAAAAGGTGTTTTTGTCGAATGCTTTGTTTCCATGTCGGAGTCACAGTGTCTTCTCTCCGACAAGCTCACCGTCGTCTGTAACATCACCTCGCGTGAAGCTCCGATGAGGTATCGGTGCGTTAGACTCCGACATGTATTGCATAGGAGACACCGTATGTGCCTGAGAGCCAAGAAATTAGCTTGGTGAACCCACTTGTCGCATTTCCGGCACAGGTAAGCGTCGTCGGCTTGACAATATAAGATTGCCCTCGAGTCGCAGAGTTCGCAGTTCACCGAGCTCGAAACACTGTTTGCGTCCGGCGAGACTCTGTCTTTCAGGCAAGAACCGGACGTGTTCCCCTGGTGTAAGCCTTTGCACATTTTTGGACGATGGCCTAGAAGTACGGGAGAAAATGGAGACATATAATAAGGCTCTATTGGAATTGGAAAAAATTATATGTATTATGACCCAAGGTTTTCTTTATATACATGGGAGCATATTCTTGTTTTGATCATAAAATTTAAAAAAAAATAAAATTGATCAGTGAACTTTAAAATTATTCCTTCTAGGTCACTATGTTATAAAATAATATTTAATTAACGACATTATAATCAGACATCTACTTCAAAAATTATGAAAAGTCCCTGGAACTTTCTTTAATTTTTTTTTTAAGAAAACACTATTTTCAGATTTTTATTTTATTTTTTGACTATGGAACATCTTTTTTTTTAAATCCTAATAATGGGAAGGTGGAGAAGGAGATGATGAGTTATATATCTCGATTCTATATTGATCGAACAATGAAGATGTAGGTCAGAGTAATTGTTCTCTAGATTTTGGGCTGAGTTTTGTTTGTTTTAAAGAGATTTTAAGAAAATCTAAACAATAGAGTGGTAGGGAGCGATAGGCAATTTCTTCGATAGATCAAAGAAAATATTGGAGAATGGTGGTTCAGACACTAACATGACACAAAGATGAAATTTTAAGAATTTAATTTTTATGTGAAAGAAAAAAGAAAACAAAAATATGATGTGGCCGGTAGGTGGTTTCACATTAATATATAACCGATCATGTCACATTGATATTTCTGATTAAACGCTCAAGTGATGAAAATGAAACAATTACAAAGTTAAATGATTAAATTGAAAATCTTTAAAGTTTAATGATCAAAGCAGAAATACGATCAAAGTTGAATAACGAAATTTACAACTTATCTTTTTAACAATGCTAAAATCTACCCCTCAAAAATATCAAGGGGAATCTTTAATATGGGTCTAGAATACTTGTACAAAAAAGGTGGTTAAAAAGCTAAACATGATTAATCTAAAAACCCAAGCTTTGTGAGATGTTTAGAGACTTGGAGTGTAATGTTATGAGCCATTCATGATTCGTTTTTTTCTTTTGCTTGTCGTGTTGGGGTTAGCAAGTCCATTTCAGTTTACCAAAGAAACAAGTGTGCCATGAACTGAAAAAAGGTCCCTCTGTAGGGGTGGTTGCCCACCAAGAGGGTGCATTGTAAGAGGACACAACACTCGGAGAGAGTTGATTTGACTATTTAAAGTGTTTGTTTTTTCCTTTGTCTTGTCCACATGTTGGGTGATTCATTGACTTCCACTTGTATGGTTCATACTCGAACGCTTCTCCTCGTTTTGTGCCGTCCATGTGTTTGGTTTTGTGGACTTTCAGAGTCTTGAATATTAACAGAAAATTCAAATTCAATGGACAAAAACCATTCCTTTTTTTCTCTTCAAAGTCGGAGAGAAGAGTACACGGGTTTTTGATTATTTTTGGGGTTTACTAGTCAATTGTGATTCTTCTTTTATTCCAAGTTCCAACTCATTATCGCTTGTGGACTTGAAAAGGTGACCAATCATCTAAAGGGTTGGTCTTCACGGTTGTTCGAAAATGAAATACTTGACGATGAACGGAAGAGATGTTTATGTTCGGATCGTATTTGAATCAGATGATAATGGATAATAATATAGTTGACCTTTGAATGAAGGAATAATTTTTCATACATATATTGGGTGATTTAAGGAGTTTAAAAGAAGCATATTGGGTAATGAGAGAAGACTTCAATGTAGTGAGGATTTGATGTGGGTGTAGTGAAAGTTTTAAAAATATTTTTGAGGGCGAACATATATATTAATAATATAAATTGAATCAATATAAGTAAAATTTTTAAGGTAAGTATAATTAATAAAATAAATAACTAATCGAAAAAAAATTATATTTTAGTGTGACTAGACATAAGATAATTACGTTGTTGATGGGGTTATAAATAAACTAATCTTGAAAAAATAAAGATGTGTTCGTTCATTTATTTTAGAAAGTGTTCATGTCTGATTATGTTCGTTTAAATTTTTATTATCAAGGTTAAATCAAGGTAACCAACAGGGCAAATCAAGGTTAATTTGAATCTAATCACAAATCAAAGCTCTTAAAATACTATCAACCTAAGCTCCAGCTCATAGATAGAATAGTCATGGAACTAAAATTAAATATTATTTCACATAAAGTTCCAAAAAAAATAAGAGATGAAAGTAAAATAAAAGCAGTACAAACAATAATGAAAACTTTAAATCACAACAACTAAAGAACAAAATTGAAGAAATACCCAAAAAATACCATAATATATTTAATTTTTTGTCTGGGGGTTATGAATTACGCTATAAGCAGATGACGAAAGACGGCTTCTTGCTATCGTTATGATCGGAATGAGATGAGGAACACAAAGACATCGATGGTGTAGAGCATAGTGTCGTAAAGTAAGGTTTAGGGTTGACAAAGTTTATGAAAAGGGGGAGGGGAAGAAGCTTTTACGAGCGGCTGAAATAAAAGAGGAAATGAGGGAAAGGGAAGGGGTTTTTATGCTGAAATAGGGCGAAATGGTAAAATTACGCCATTGGTGTTTAAATTTCTTAGGATTCATATTTTAAATTTCAAATTTTATAATGTATTTAATTTAATATATACCTTCACCAATATTTAAAATATAAAAAATAAACGAGCTCATAAACGAGTTTGTTCACAAACGGATCAAACACACCTTTGTTTGTGTTCGTTCGTTTATTAAATGAATATAAAAACCATGTTCATATTCATTTATTTAGCTTAATAAACGAACATAAACGAGCGTTATACGAAAGGTTCACGAACTGTTCACCAAACGTTTTGTTCATTTACACCTAGTCATTGAGTGAAAGGAATGATTCTGGTAGGATTTCAATGAGTTTATACACAACTGTAGACTTATGAATATTCTAATGATAGACAGAAAATTCAATTGATTTGATAAAAAAATCATAAGAGTAGAATTGATAAGTTTTTGTTGAACGAACAATGGTTAATCCTTTATAAGAATATACTCCAAAAAGTATTGAAGAGAATGATATGTGCAATGCCCTAAAATACGGGTTAGGAGTTTCGGGTTTATTCATTGGGCTTATGAGTGATTTTACCTTAGTGTATCAACCTTGGACCCAAGTGGATTTAATTTAGGCTTGTGGTGAGCCCAACAAGCTTTGAAAAAAGGGTGTTTTTAATCTCAGCTTAAAAGAAGAAGGACTTGTAGGGTAATTATACCATTTTTTAAACATAAGGCTGAATCCCATTAATGTGAGATGATATCACATATGTTTTTATCCATCTCTTTTTCTTCACCAGACTTGTTTTCTTCATCTTTTCTTCTTTATTCATTTCTCTCCGAAGCTGAGTTAAAGGTTGAAATTTTGAGAAATCTAATCCTCCATTAAGTCATTCAATGTAAGAATTTCAATCTTCATATTTCAAGCTTCCATTCAAGCCATCTTTTGCAAAGTTTGGGTAAGTTAACCAAAAAGAGTTTTTAAAGGGATCTATGGAATCTTGAAGTTTAAAAGTTTTAGGAGAGTTTTGAGTTGTAGAATCGTTTTAACACCTTCCTAAGTTTTATAATGAGTTATAACTCATTTTCCTATGGTTTTGATTAGTTTAAGAGAAATGTGAAATCTATATTTGTGTGTTATAATCTTGAAAATTGACAACTTTTAACCTCTAAGACACTAAATAAGACCTTAAAAACATTTGCTAGCCTTAGGGGAGTGATTGGGTGAGTTTTAGGAATGTTTTCATGCTTAAAACAAAGCACCCAGGTCTGTCAGTATCAATACTGAAAGAACAATACCGATATTGTTCTTTGTGAAAGAAAAAAAACCAAGTGATTTATAAGGGCAATATCAATACCCCTTCAAGGTGTATCGATACTCAGGGTCCAATATCGATACTTAGGTGGTCAGTATTGATATTGAGGTATTTTTGAAAACATCGAAGCCGATTTTGGTATCGATGCCTAGGGTAGAGTATCGATACTCCCCATAGGGGTATCAATACCCAAGTATTTTTCAAAACATCGAAGCAAATTATGGTATTAATACTCATGTAAGTATCGATACCCAAGGGGTGAGTATCGATGCTGCTGGCCCATTATCGATACCCATAGAGATTTTTGGATAATTTTGGTTCAATTATTTGGGTGTTTGAGCTGAGGTGTTTTGAGTTCGTATAAGCCTTACTATTCAATCCAAGTGAAAACAAATAAATTAACTCAATTGTCACCTAGAAATTAAGCAAGATAGGATGACATAAGATTTGTCTTGTGTGACACTTGGGAAACGGTTTGAATACCTGAGTTACTATAGTGATATGACGATCGTTCCTTGTTTGTAAATATCTGGATATTTTCTGTTTGGTATGCATCCGATGCACATAAATTTCGGGTCGTATCGGTATAAAATTTTGATGCACGTAAATTATGGAATCGTATCATATGCTCGGTACAATATGTGAGCTTTCGATGCACGCAAATTCTGGACCTCACCCCGACCTCTCGAGGATCCGAGGTAGAGTAAGGGCTATAAGTTTTGATGCATGTAAATTTTGGTTATTATCTAAAAGCTTTCCCGTTTTAGATGGGCTAATGGGTTGTCCGAGATGCACGTAAATTCCTTCAACCACTCTACTTGGCCTATCTCATGTTTGATATGTACTTTTCCATATTCATGACTTTGCATTCCGACATGTTCATGTAATGAATGCATGTAGTATCATATAGTTATTTTCGTGTCTCTGAGCTTGTGAGCTCAATGTATGAAATATGTTTCTATAAGTAGGTTAGTAGAAGATCATTGAGAAACCTATCGCGACAATACATTCCAAACCAGACGAATTACAGAGTATGTCTTGATTATTTATAGAGGTAATGTATTTTATACAGACCTTATGTATTCAAGTCATAACTCTATTTGTTTTAAACTCTACGGTTGTATTGTACGTATTTTGGGAGAGTCCTGTATTTTGCAAACTTTATTTTTATTTCGCATATGATATGATGGATGCTTTT